ATTGAGTAGGTCCCATAATAACCATCTCATTATTAATGGCTCTTAAATCTTGCAATAATCTCCATTTACCAGATTTCTTTTTAATGACAAAAATGGGAGTATTATAGGGAGATATGGAAGGTTGTATATGTCCCTCCGCTAATTGTTGTTTGACCAGGTCATGGGCTGCTTGTATCTTTTCTTTAGTCAGGGGCCACTGAGGAACCCATACTGGTCTTTCTGTCTCAGTGACCTCTTCTGAAAACCCAATCCATGTCTATTTATTCCTTGATCTATTTGAATTGGTGCTGCTATACCTTGCTCTTGTTCTCCTAATCTTTCTTCTTTCCTAAAACCTTGTCTAGCCCTAAGAGTGGGCACATTTGGATTGATGTTAATTGATCTAGGACATCTCGTCCCCATAAATTTATAGGAAGATGATCCAATACAGATGGCTGTATAGTTCCTTCACATCCTTCAGGTTCCTTCCAATCTGATACCATTGCACTTCTATGGGGATTAGTCGCCACTCCTAGGCCTTGAAGCATTTGAGTGGCTTGTTTTAATAGCCAATGTTTTGGCCATTCTTGACAAGATATGATGCTAAGGTCTGCACCTGTATCCAGTAGCCCATTAAATTCATGTCCTTGAATATTTAGTTTTTGCATTGGGCGAGAATCTAAATTTAAAGATAGCATAGCCCAATCTACACCTGTGGGGCCTAATCCCCTGGAACCTCTTTCTATAGTACTACTGGAAAATTTATCATGTAGGCTGGGTATTATTAATAACTGTGCTATTCTATCTCCTGGTGAAATTACTGTTATACCCTTTGGAGAACYAGCTATAATTTTTATTTCACCTTCATAATCGGGATCAATTACTCCAGGACTTATCATAAGTCCTTTTAGAGTAGAAGAACTTCGTCCCAACAATAAGCCTACTGTTCCTTGGGGAAGAGGTCCTTTTACTTCTGTGGGGATGATTTGAACTCCCATCTCTGGAGTTAGTACTGCTCTGGCGGAGGCACAGATGTCCAACCCTGCGCTCCCTCTGGTTTGTCTGATGAGAGATCTGATGGATAATGTATCCTGGGCACTACCCTGATGGTGTTGCTGGGTTCCTCCATGGTGTTTCTGGGTTCCTCCAGTGCCCCGTATATTTGTGGTCATGGGCCCCGGAGCATTGGGCCCCCCTGTCCGTTTTTTGGCAATGGAGCCTGATGCCTTTCTCCATGAAATGTTGGGTAAACGCCTGGTCCTTATCCATTTTTTGATAATGGAGTACCCTCTATGGTGGTTTGAGAACAGCATTCATTAGCCCAATGTCTCCCTCTATGGCCTCTTGGGCAAATACCAGGTATTCTATTTCTTTGATACCTAGTTTTGTTAAACCCGCCTCCTATGGGGCAATTCCTTTTAAAATGTCCTGTTTGTTCACAATTGTAGCATGTTTTTGGCCTGGCATCTAAAGCCTGTTGTACTGTAGCTGCCAAGACTTGCCCTTGTTCATTAATGTCTCTACATAATTTAATATATGTGTTTAAATCTCCATGTTTCCATTGTCTAATGACCTCCTTGCACCAATGATTTGCTTGCTCATAAGCCAGTTGTTTAATTAATGGCATTGCTTGTTCTGTATCCCCAAAAACTCTGGTAGCTGTTTGAATAAGCCTATCTACAAATTCAGCGTAAGGTTCATTAGCTCCCTGTATTACCTTAGATAATTGACCTTGTAAATCTCCATGTCCTTGTAAAGTCTTCCATGCCCTAACTGCATCTGCAGCAATTTGTGGATATATAGCAGGATCATATTCAATTTGTTGCCATTGACCTTCATAAGATCCTTTTCCTAACAACATATCTAGATTTCTTTGAGGGTAACCGGCTGCTGCATTTCGACTAGCCGTCTCCATGCAAAATTCCTCATTTGCAACCTTCCATAACAAATATTGTCCTCCATTTAGCACAGATTTACACATGCTAGCCCAATCTGCTGGTGTCATGTCCAAGTTAGTAATGGATTCGACCATGCTTACAGTGAAGGGTGCTTGAGGATCATAGGTTGTTACAGCCTCCTTTAACTGCTTCACTGTTTTGAAATCTAAAGCATGGTGAATTCGCTGCCTTCCTGCCTGCTCAAGTACAGGGCATGCTRATCTTTGAGGTCCTGTCTCAGGATCCCATCTATCAACTATGGGGGTTGAGGGCCACTCAGCTGTCTGTATAGGTGGAGCTGTTGGTTGAATTACGCCTTCTGGTGATAGAACGGTGTTAGTAGCATAGCCTCCTGTTGTAGCTTTTCCCCTTATAGCCCCTTTTCCTTTAAATTTTCTTCCTCTGTCTGACTAGCTTGAGAGACCTTCTCTTTTGCATGATCTAAAATGTCTTTCTCCATGGTCTGGACCTCTAACAATTTACTTAACACTCTTTCAGTTTGTTTTTTACTAATTTCTAATCTTCTATAAAGATAACACAACCCAATAAGATAACACAAACAAAACTGAAACAGAATGAAACAAAAATGGAACAAAAAATCGTTGTATCAATTTTCCTATTTTCTTGACATGTACATTTGTGGTCTATTTCTATCTCTTCCTCAGGGGGGAACAACTTCAAACCTTGAGCCAACCATTTTTCCCAGTTTGCCTGAGAAAGTTCTAGGGATAGGCAGCTTGAAACAAAAACAAAACAAATCAAAACAAGAACAGATTGTTTTTTGAAATGGTCACCCATTCTCTCGCCTTCCCTTAGGGGCGAGCAATTTCACTTAAGCCCGAGCTTCATGCATTCCCCGCACGGGCCGCCAAATGCCGCAGTCTGGCTGGGCACAAATCACGAGCAACTGAAGCAGGAACAAATTTTATTTCTGAACTCCATCAGCACACCCACACATGCTCCCTGGTAATTTCTCCCGAACGCCATGCGGCTCATTCAGGAACCAGCAACCGGAAATATCCCTCCTCCTGCACTTCCCCAACCAATGGGAACTCTGGGAATCCCCGCAAGAGCTCAACTGGAACTCAACTGGAACTCCGCGAGAACTCCGTGAGAACGCCAGTCACCTCTCAACCACTACTTCTGGCAAAAATGCCATGTGTCATCCCGACTCGGCTGTGGCCCTCCACAGTCTTGAATTCCTAGGCTCAAGTTATCATCCTGCCTCAGCTTCCAGAGTTGCTGGGACTACAGGTGTGCCAGCACACCAAGTTTGCATATACTTAAAAATATATCAGAATACATTTCCTTCTTTTTAAAAATATTTCAACTGCAAAAGAGTGTAGAATGGTGGTTTCCAGGGGCATAGGGGAAAGGCTAAGTGGATGCAGCAAGTTGAGAGGTAGGTCAGAGGACACAAAGTATCAGAAGAAACAAATTTTGGTGTTCTATGCAGCATCATGACTTTAGTTAGTAGTACTGTATTGTATTCAAAATAGCTAAAATTTGTCTAGAAGATTTTGTTTTTCTTTTTTACAGTGTTGGGGATCAGAGCCAGGGCCTCACTGGGCACAGTGGTGCACACCAGTAACCTCAGTGATTTGAGAGTGTGAGGCAGGAGGATGATACGTTCAAGGCAAGCCTCAGGAACCAAGTTATTGGATTTAATGGTGGAATTCAGGATTTCTATCCCTGTTACATAATAAAAAGTTTGTCTGGTCTTTGTTCTGCGTTTCTGACACAGAACTTTTAAAACTCTTGGAATTGCCCAAGTGATAGGAGTGTCTCTGTTGTACATGAAACCCTTGATCATAGCTGAGTTTACATTAATGAGAACAATCCAGGATGAGAACTGTTTACTGGAAAGACCATTTGTGTGATTATAATGCTGGAACTTGGAGCTAGCCTTACCTGCAGGAGGGGAAAGGGTGGAGCTGGAGATTGAGTTCAACCAAGTAGCCAATGATTCAATCACACTTAAGATCATGAAACCCCAGTTAAAACCTTGGACGTTGAAGTTTCAGTTTCCTGGTTGGTGAACATGCTGATGTGCTSAAGGGTGAAGAACCCTGATTCCACACGGAGGGAGAACAGATACGCTACATTTGAAACTCTCGTAGACCTTGTCCCATGTCTTCATTTTGCTGGTCCCAATTTATATCACTTATAATAAACCCATAATTATGGGTATAGTGCTTTTCTGAGTTCAGCAAATTATTTTAGAGATTTATCAACTCTGAGGAGGTTAATATTATTAATGTCCTGATAATGAAACCCCTCTGCCTTTTCTGCCAGGATGCAATCCAAGTTCACGGGTCATATGTAGTTTTTCTGTCTCTCTAAAAGTCTCCTTTAATCTGAAATAGTCCCTTAGACTTTTTTCCTTGATATTAGAAGAATTCTGACTAGTTATTTGTTAGAATATTCTTAATTTAGGTTTGTCTGATGTTTCTTCAAGATTGGATTCAGGTTTTACATTTCTTTTTTTGGCAGAAATAATTTAAAATTGACATTGTCACCAGGCATGGTGGCGCATACTTTTAATCCCAGCAGCTTGGGAGGCTGAGGATCATAAGTTCAAATCAAATTTTAGCAACTTGGCAAGGCCCTAAGCAAATTAGTAAGACCCTGTTGCAAAATGAAAAAATATAAAGAGATCTGGGGATGTGGCTCAGTGGTTAAGCACCCCTGGGTTCAATCCCTGGTAGCACCCCCCCAAAAAAAAAAGTTATTGTGTCCTTCTGGAACGGTGCAATATTGGGATATTGGGATTTCTCATTACTGTAATTTTCACTTGGACCACTTCATTCAGGTAATTTTGTATTCAGTATTTAACATTCAGCCACATTATTTTTAGAGGCCTTCAAGGTGAAGACACACTGGGATGAAATCAATCTTTCTTTCTGTCTCTTTCTGCCTTTGCTTTTTGCACGCCAAGAACATGCTCTTACACTGAGCTATATATGCAATCAAAAACACCCAAAAGAGTTTCGGCACCATAATGAAAGCACAAATAACCAGGACAGGAGCAGAACTCATGGATCAGCTATGTCTTTTATTCAGCAGCAGAGTCAGTCATCAGAGGAGCTCATTTTCTGGGTAGAAAATGGCCCCCTGGTTACAGAAGGGATCTGTGTTTTATAGTTTACAATGAGGGTGGCTTAATCATTGGAGACTGCAGCAGAATGTGTGAGTTTGGGCAGTCAGGAAAAAAGTTATAAAAAGTCCAAAACTCATTGTTTTTGGGAAGGGATGAAAGCTCAAAGCCCAGTGTTCACTGCATATCTTCTTTCCTGGGATCCATTGTTACCCAGAGCTTCACTATTTTCTTTTCTCCTTCCAGGATTCATTGGCAATGGGAAAGGGTGAAAGTCTAGGGCCCATCACTCAGTATCCTCCTCCTCCCTTCAGGACCCATTGTCAATGGGAAGGGATGCATATTTCACCTTCTTCCTTCCTCCCTCCCTCCTCTTAGGTTACACTGTCTTGGTTTTCGTTTTCCATATCCTTCAATAGAGATGGAACTATTTTTTTAACAATAATAATAATTTGTTAGGGTAATAGTTCCATATTCCAAGCAATTTTGCATACTTTCACTCAAATTCCCTAATAACTCTCTGAGAAGCCTAATTGTTAGTATTACTGGAGGAGTCAGAATTCTAGAATCACCATTATTTATCATTATGGCATGGCTAAATCAAACAAATACTCATAATACTTACATAATTAAATGGTTATTTTAGCAGCAGTTCCTTTTGTATTTGGCATCTGACAAGCTGCAGAGACACGAAGGCAAGGGAGGAATTTGGGAGGATCTGGGGCAGAGGAGTGGGAAAGAGGAAGGGAAAAAACAGGTATAGGATTCAGGACAAAGTTGGGACTTAGCAGTGATTGGGTTATTGGGACTGGGGATGAGGTAGAAGAAAAACAGTGCAGAGACAGAGGTCAGTCTGGGCAGAGTGGAATCTGGGCTGGAGTGGGAGGCTTGACCAGGGGTTGTAGGACATYAGAGCTTAGGCTGAGCGCTGCTATTGATGGGGCGGGGCCTACAGAGGATGGGCGGGGTTGGGGTTAGGTCTCTGGTAGGCGTGATTGACGTAGGCGGGACCAATCGGCGGGTGGGCGTGGCTGATGTGGGCAGGCCCCTGCCGACCTGGTCGAACTGGGCGCGCTTCCGGGTGTCACCCGCAGAGGGCGCCGGGCCGGGAATCGCCYGTTGAGTCGCGAGGCCGGACAGAGCGCGGCGCCGCCCCACTCGCCCCAGCCGCCGCCATGAAGGCCGTGGTGCAGCGCGTCACCCGGGCCAGCGTCACAGGTCAGTCGGGCGGGGCCGGGCCCGGGAGGAGCCGCCCCTGACCCCCGCGACCCGCCGTCTCGCGTGGGGGTTCCTCGGCGCCATCCTCGGGGCTGCTACAGGCCCCCGGTGAGCTCGGCCCCCGCAGCCYCAGTTCCCTCTCGGCTCTCGGGCAGCGCTGCGGTCGGGAGCGCCCCGCACGTGCCTGGCCGGCGGCCGCGCACCGCTGGTTCCGGAGCTCCGTTTTGGGTTCAGTTTAAGCGCACCTCATCATCGTTATCATCGTCATTTTTCTTTCTTTCTTTTTTTTTTTGGTCCTGCGTACTGTGTAGCAGAACCTGCGAGTGTCCCCCTGGCCGACTCTTCAGTACACTGTTGCACAAACAACACGTAGGGAGCATTTCCGGAGCCGGGACTCCGCCCTCTTCCCGCTGCTCTACCTTGAATGCTGCAGTTTTGCCGGTTTGTTTGCACATCCCAATTTTAATGGAGCTTGACTCCGGATAAGATGCACAGAGGTGAAGAGTTGCTTCTCTGATGAGCTCTGACAGTTGTGTACACGCACGTGACTTCGCCTAGACCAGATGCAGAAGGTTCCCAGTCACTGGATGCGGGTCTTCCCCATGCTGAACCCTGCCACTATGGGTCAGAACCTAAAGAATTCGAGATGGAACATTTCTAATTTCTGAGGATCAGGTCACCCAACCATTAGTCATCATTTGAACCCTCTACAACAGGGGTCCAGATAATTAATGTAGATAGTGTAGTTGTTTTAAGTACTGAAACTTTGGTTTGAAAGGTATTAAAAAAATTCAAATAACAGGTTTTATATTGTCTTTAGTCTTATAAATTATTATTGGTAATATTATATTGTTTCAAGCCAGGGGTGCCAGCTACTCAGGAGGCTGAGGCAGGTGGATGATTTTAGCCCAGGAACCAGCCTGAGGAACATAGGGTGACCCCTTTTCACAACAACAACAACAACAACAACAAAACCACAAAACCCAAAAACATTGTTTTAATAATAAAAAAAAAAAAATTCCAGATATTCTTTCCTTCAAGCCAGTCTATACCAAAGATGTGTTTTTGGGTCCAGGAAGTATAAATGTAAAAACAAAACAACCCCCACCCCCCAAGAAACAAAATCACATGTTTAGATCTACTTTTCAACCTTTATTAGTAAGCTGTTGGGTAACTTTGGTTTTAGAATGATCCTGGAATAATAAGGAATAAGGGGTAGGCCAGAACTGGGGTTCTTGGAGTTTTCAAAGGGCTTATAGCATTTCAGTTAATATTCACATTCACAAAAACTGGGGGAATTCATAGATAAGACTTTTTGTTTATTTGGGAGAATCTAGCTGTCTGTTTTGTATGGTCATCAACAACAAATTTGAATTTCTGCCCCTTGAACAAATTTCTGTCCTGCAATCTGGAGTATTGATGATATATATTTATTCTGTGAGATTTGCTGAATGGATTTTGAGGGTTTTTTTTTGTTTAGTTTTGTTTGTTTTTGATACTGGAGTTTGAACCYCGGGGATGTTTACCACTGAGCTACATCCTCAGACCTTTTTTTTTTTTTTTAAAAAAAAATTATTTAAAAAATTTTAAGTCTTGCTGAGTTGTTTAGGGACTCACTAAGTTGCTGAGGCTGGCCACAAATTTTGATCCTCCTCTCTCAGTCTCCCAAGTGGCTGGAATTACAGGGGTGTTCCACTGCATCTGGCAGAGTTTGAGTTCTTTTAATTTACTACTTAAATTGTAGGGATGGGGCTGTAGCTCAGTGGTAGACTACTTGCATAGTATGCATGAAGCTCTGGGTTCAATCTCCAGCATTAGAAACAAACAAACCAACCCCCTCTACATTAAATTGTATACTTTTAGTTAAACCAAAAGATTAAAAAAAAGATAAGGGGGTTAAATTGTGAGAACATGTTAAGTTATTTGGAAATTCTAGATTGGGGAACCATGGAATTCTCAATATGGAGGGACCCTTGAGTTATCCAGACCTTCTAGTTGTAATGGCAAAGGATCTTCTGGATTCCCCAAGAAATTTGAGTGGATTCACTGAAAGTTAGCAGCATTTGAATGATATTTCATTTTAGAGGTTTTAAAACACCACTTCCTATTTTATGGCAAGGACGAAGTAGCAGAACTCACACATCTTGTTATGTGGCAGGTTCATTTTATAAGATTGATCAGGGGCTGGGGTAGAGCATTTGCCTAGCATGTATGAGGTCCTGGGTTCGATTTTCATCACTGCRTATAAATGAATAAATAAAAAATACATTTCCATCAACAACTAAAAAATATTAAAAAAAAGATTGGTCAGGCACATTTTGATTTTTTTACAATGGTTATTTGTTAAATTTTTTTCTTTTATGGTGCTGGGGATTGAACTCAGTGCTTTTGCATGCTAAGCAGCATTCTAAAACTGAGCTGTACTCCTAACTTTAAAAACTTTAAAAACTTTATTCAGAAAGGTTTCAAACATTCAATAGAAGAAATAACACAGTAACCCCCATGTCCATCACTAAGTCTCAGCAAGTAAACTTGGTGTGTATATAGTGTTTCAGAGATTGTGATGTCTTTAAGGGGTCTCCCATGCCACTTATTTGTGGAGAAATTGACCAAACATCTCTGCTCTTTTCCAGCTCTGTGATCTTTTTGTCTACAGTGGTGATTCTCAAGTTTTTCCCTTAGAAAACCATTGTTTATCATAAAAGAACCCTTTAAACTTCCAAGTTCTTATGCTTGTTCCTGGAGAAAGGCAAAACTGCTCTAAAATAAGATGGCAATGTCTGTGTCATATATAGACTTCGGGGGCATACTTTATTTCTTATGAAGATAATAAATTATAAAAATGTTGAGAATCTACTCTTAGAAGATAATCCTAATTGTAGAAAAAGCTTTTATGCACAAAGATTGTCTCTACACATACTTATTGAAGGGAAAAATTTGAAACAAGCCATGTGTCCAATAAAATGGTTAATCAGTCACTGAATAGGATGCAGCTGTTAAAAGGTGCTCAGGAAGTTTGGCATAGAAAAATTTTTATGCGGCGCTGGGGATGTAGCTCAAGCGGTAGCATGCTGGCCTGGCATGCGTGCGGCCCGGGTTCCATCCTCAGCACCACATACAAACAAAGATGTTGTGTCCGCCGAAAACTACAAAATAAATATTAAAAAATTCTCTCTCTCTCTTTAAAAAAAAAAAAGAAAAGAAAAATTTTTATGCAATGTTAAGAGAAAAGATTAGACACAAAAATTTATATCTAAATATAAAAGTTTTATGATTATAGCAGTTACAAACAAATATGAAATAAAACCAATGAACAGAGAAAATATCAAAAGGAAATCATAGGAACAGCCCACACCTATAATCCCAATGATTCAGGAGGCTGAAGCCAGAGGATTGCAAGTTCAAGTTCATCCATAGCAATTTAGGAAAAAGTTGTCTCAAAATAAACAATAAGAAGGGCTGGGGCTGTAGTTCTGTGGTAGAACCTCTCCCTGGATTCAGTTCCTGGTACTGAAGAAAAAAATCATTAAAATAATAAAGTTTTAATATTTTAAAGACAATTAAAGCTTGTCTTTGGGTTTTTGTTTTTTGGGTCCAGGGATTAAACCCAGGGACACTTAACCACTGAGCCACATCCCCATCCTTTTTATGTATTTTTTTTAGAAACAGCATCTCACTGAGTTGCTTAGGGCCTCAGCTAAGTTGCTGAGGCTGGCTTTGAACTTGCAATCCTCTTACCTCAGCTTCTGGAGCTACTGGGATTACAGGCATGTGTGACCATGCCCGTCTGTTTCTTATATTTTCCAAATTTTCTGTAATGTATGTGCATTATTTTAATTAATTAAAATCTACTGTGTTTAGAAAGCATATTGACACTGTAGAAAGTGTTGATTTATTTGAAGAACAAATAAAACTAGAAGACTTTTTCTAAAGCAGTGCAGACAAGCAAATCAAGCCCAGTTGTTTGCTCTTTATTTGTGGAAAGATTATTTCTGTTTCAACTTTTGAGTCAGTGGCTCACAGGACAATCAATCACAAATAATCTATTATAAGAAAATCAGCACTAAAGAAAATATTTTAAAATACTTTTTAGCATAAAAATAAGAGAAATTATATTTTGCTAGTATTTCGGAAATAGATTGATACTGGTGTTCCTCTAGGATCTGAATGTTAGGTGGTCCCTTGTCAGACACTTGAAGAAAGAGGTGAGATTCTCATTCTTTCTTTAACTTGCAGTGTATTGCAATGTGGTATATAGTCTGTGCTGCTTTGTTAAGTATATTTATACATATTACTATCCAGTAGAAGCAAATTACAGGAAACTGGCAGAGTTGACTGTTCTAGTCCTGATTGGATCATTAGGTTAGTATGCAATGCAGTAATCAAACAACAGTAATCTAATGTGATTGGGCAAAAAGTTGTCAAAAAAGAGGACATTATCATGATCACCACTGAGATATGGATTTAGATTCACTGTCATTGTGATGACTCTGGGCCTAAGTACTATGGCAACATTTGTTATATCGTCCACTGTAGTAGGGCATACCTTTGTTTATAAATACATTCGCAAATATAACAGTGTGTGGAAAGAGATTTTCTTTAGTGGATGGGGTGCCTGCTTTAAATGATTTGGAGATCACTGGCTTAGATTGTTACTRCTGAACTACACTGGGAAATAACAGCAATTTTCTGAGGTGAAGCTTAATGCATAAATTATATTTTTGTTGTTCTCTTTTTTTTGTGTGGTACTGGGGATCAAACCGAGGGCCTTGTGTATGCTAGGTGAGCACCTTATTACTGAGCTATATATACCCCCACCCCTTAAAATCATAGTGTTTATGCATAATATATTTATCTGCTCTGCAGGAAGTAGGAAAAACATTTTTAAAATGATGTGAACATTTTCCATTTTGTGCTTTATGTATTTTGTTACTTGGTTTGCTGATTTCCAAGAAAAACAGAAATCTCTTTTCTAAGAATTAATCTAGCTTAGCTGGATTATTTGTCGGGGAGGAAAACCCTGTTCTGGTTTTACAGATGGCCAAATTTGATCATAGAAAGTTACAGATGTTGAGGCTGGGGTTATGGCTCAGTGGTAGAGTGCTTGCCTAGCATGTGGGAGGTACTGGGTTTGATCCTCAGCACCATATAAAAATAAATAAATAAGTAAGGTATTTTGTTTACTTACAACTAAAAATATTTAAAAAAGATGGTTCCAGATGTTTTACCCTGTATTACCTGAGGTAACGCATATGAAAATGTTGCCCTAAAATCCTGCGATATAAAATCAGAATGTATGGGAATTATTATCATCTCCCTGTGTTTGATTTTTGGATATCTCTCAGTTTTAACCAAGGAAATTATGAGAAGTATGTGTGATGTGTAAAATAACACTAAGCACTCATGACGCCTGTTTGTTAAGTCTTTTTTCCCTTTTGATTCCTTTCTAGTTGGAGAAGAGCAGATAAGTGCCATTGGACGTGGCATTTGTGTATTGCTGGGTATTTCACTGGAAGATACACAGAAGGAACTGGAGCACATGTAAGACACAAATTTCTCTGTCACTGCCATGTGCATGGGATACATAGTGGTTTCATTGGCAACTTCTATAGTTTTTTGTGCCTTTGAAGGGAGTGAGTCCTTGTCATCTTGGTCCAATCCTCTCATTGGATGTAGTATGGCTATCTTTGTGTTTCAGGTGAGACCCAGGAAGAATAAACTGTCAAACCGGAGTCAGCAGCAGAGTGGGAGCACAACTTAGCCTCCATCTCTGTTTGTTACTACATCTGTGAGCTCTGCCTCTTTGTGCAAAACAGGGCCTCTTATTAATGTTTTCTCTTTCTCTCTCTCTGTCTTTTTTTTTTTTTTTTTGTACCAGAGTTTGAACCCAGGGGTGCTTCATTACTGAGCCACATCCCCAGTTCCTTTTAAAAATTATTTTTTAAAATTTTGAGACAGGGTCTCGCTAAGTTGCTGAGGGCCTTGCGAAATTGCCGAGGCTAGCTTTGAACTTGAGAGCCTCCTGCCTCAGCCTTCTGAGCAACTGGGATTCACATAAGGACCTGGAACTTAGATTAAATTTCTGTCTCCTGGTTTTTCACAGACACTTTAGCAAAAAGCCTGAACCCAAATTAGAATCTGGGCTACTGGGGTTTGAAATTGGTGCTTTTTTACTGAGGGAGGGGAGTTTGCCATTGCTGCTACCTAATAGCTGTCTTGGTAGAGTCAGCCCTTCCTGAACTTGCTTTTTTTCCCCTGCACCAGTTGACACATTTGCTTCTATTCTGGCCACTATATATTCTGCTCCTTGGTTTGAAGAGCCTGGGTATAACTCTGCTCATTTGTGCCTTTGTTATTATATTGGAAGTCCCACTTGGAACCTAATTCCTACTAAGGTGTCAATGACTGATAGGACAGTTTGATACCACTATAGGGATGTTAATATTGCACTCTTGGTATTGAGTATTTGACTATCCCCTCCCTGGATGCTAAAAGAAGAGTAGAAGATGGTAGTGGTTAATGACTGAGTCTTTAGGTCTGAGTCTTTCTATGGCTCTGACATATAGACAGCTAATACTTAATTAGTGATTAAGAGATGTGTTCAATGTAAGGCACACGCTGGCTGTGGAGTGGGGGTATAGTACCCATTGCAGAGGACACCCACATGAAGAGTCAGTGGATTAGGATATTTAGAGCCCTTGGAAATGCCTTTGCTTTTAACATCATTCAAAGGTGGCTCTCAGGTGGTGAAATTTCAGCTTTCATGCAGTCAGTTCTTTTGTAGTTCTTAAATCTTACCTATCCAGTTCCTTCCAAGGGGTGGCTGTCCTTTGTAATCTATCGGGGCTCAAGAAGCACATGACATAATTATCAGGTGCCTTTTCTTAGATCTTTTTGTACATTTGCAATATTTACAAGTTTTCTCTCAGAGTATTTGCATATTGATTATTTTGAATAACTCTAAGAAGGGGTATAAGATGTGGTTTCATTTATTCCTGTGTAAAGATTGAATTCTTCTGTAAAAAATCAGCATTGGATTTAGGTATGGATATAGCCCCTAACTTGAAGGAACTTTCTGTGGTGTGGTTGTCATTTTGGCCTCTGTTCCCACTAGTAGTTGCTGTAAATTGGAAGGACTGACAAAAAAGAAGGAAATCCCCCCTAAAACCATATGAGTTAGGACTGTCATTACCTAGTATTGCAGATGAGGAAATTGAGGCATGGAGTGGATTAGTAACTTGCCCATGGTCACACCATCTGTAAGTAATGGAGTCACCATTAGGTTCTTATTTGGCAGGATACTGGGGACACTTTGGGCTTACAGGGTGTGTTGGGAGCCTTGTGATCCTGCATGTAGCTCTCACCACTCTTTTTCTCCTTAGGGTCCGAAAGATTTTGAACCTGCGTGTGTTTGAGGATGAGAGTGGTAAGCACTGGTCAAAGAGTGTGATGGACAAACAGTATGAGGTGCTGTGTGTCAGCCAGTTTACTCTTCAGTGTGTCCTCAAGGGGAACAAGCCTGACTTCCACCTGGCGATGCCCACAGAGCAGGCAGAGGGCTTCTACAACAATTTTCTGGAGCAGCTGCGCAAGACTTACAGGCCAGAGCTCATCAAAGGTAGGCAGGAGTTGCTGGGGGCATAGCTCAGTGGTGGAGAGCTCACCTAATATGTAAGAGGCCCCAGGTTCAACCCCTAGTACTACAAAGAAAACAAAGTAGTGAAGAGAGTGAGCCTGCACCCAAAAAGGGTGTCCCTGGGACACCTCCAAGTAGAGGGAGAAGTGAATGTACAACTGAAGCATCTCTTTTTCTGGAAAACCATTGTTTATATTTATTGCCCACTTAAAATGAAATAATAGCTGTTACTGCTGTTTCAGCTGTACCCAACACATGCCCTCTGAATGCTCTTGATACTATTCACCCTTCTCCATTCTTTTGTTTATATTTTGAAAATGTTTAAGAGCCCAGAGGTGTGTTTGATATTGTGATGTTTCTTTGATTGTTTAGATTAGCCTTATCTAATAGAAACAGAGTGTGGACCCTAAATGTGAGCCAAATATGTCATTTAATTTTTATTTTTATTAATTATTTTTTGTTGTTCTTGCTATCCTGGAGATCAAACATGCTGGGCAAGTGCTCTACCTCTGAGCTATACCCACAGCCCTGTCATTTTAGTTTCTAATAGCTATAATAAAAAAAGTAAAAGGAGGCTGGGAGTGTAGCTCACAGGTAGAGTGTGTGCTTAGTATGCATGAGGCCCTAGGATAGAACCCCAATTCCCCACCCCCGAAAAAAAGACAGTAAAATGAGCCAAGTGAAGTTGCTTTTAAAAGTATACTTTATTTAACCTGGTTCAGAATATTATGATTTTTTTAACATGTAATCAATATAAACATTATGAGGTAGTTTACATCCAATTAAAATGCTTTACGTTTCTTAGAGCAGTATGAAGTTCACAACAGAATTCAGAGGAAGGTAGAGAGATATCCCATATACTCCTCCCCTACACATGCAAAGCCCTCCCATTAGTAGTATCTCCCACCAGGGAGACACATTTGTTATAACTGATGAACCTCCACTGATGTGTCATTTTCAACCACAGTTTATAGTTTCCATAAGTGTTAACTCTTGGCTCTGTGTGTTCTATGGGTTTAGATAATTTTATAATGTAATGTATCCACCATTAGAGTATCATGCAGAATATTTTCACTACCCTAAAAATCTTTGTGCTCTGTTTATTTATTCCTTTCTTCCCACAACTCTTAGTGACCACTGATGTTCATTTTATCCAGAGTTTTAGCTTTTTCCAGAGTGTCATACATACAGTTAGAATTATGTAGTATGTAGCCTTTTCAGATTGGCTTCTTTTACTTGGCAAGAAGCATTTAAAGTTCCTTTTTCATGACTTTATTGCTCATTTCTTTTTAACACTGAATAATATTCCTTTGTTTGGATGTACTATAGTTCATTTACACTTTGAGCGTGATACCTTGCAATTGGGTCTGAGTGACATCTGCACAAAGGCGAATAAATTCTGAAAGGATCCCCTTTTTCCTCTGGGGTCTGAGAATGTTCTGGCAAATTTTATTTGCATTTTCGAATGCTAGCTACTTAATGATAAATTCACAGGCATCTGGATCCCCTATTGACCTGTTAGTCGTTTTATACAATTGATCCACAAAGTGCGAAAATAATTCTTCTGAGCCCTGTTTTATCTTAGTCAAAACTAGACTAGACTGGACCCAGGAAGAGATTTGTTGCCATGCCTGTTTAGCACATGAAGTTATCCGATCATAAACTGCAAATTCATAGTTGAGCTGTCTTTCTAAATCCGAGAATTCACCCATTCCCATTAACATCTCTAAAGGGGTTTCAATATTTTGTCTCCTGTTTCTCTCTGCCTGCTTGGTACAAAAATCGGTCCAGTAAGACCACCAGAGAAGAAAGTCGTCGCCATTTAAACAAGCTCTGGCCATGGATTCCCAATCTCAAGGTGGAAGAGGTTCTTGACAGCCCAAGTCGAGCAAGTTTTGTACAAATGGCGAATTAGGACCATAAATATTATAAGAGGTTTTTAACTCTTTTATAGTTTTAAAAGGAATTATAGCATGTATGCGGACACGCTGATCTTGTTCGTTAACCTGTTCAAAAACTGCAAAAACTGAAATCTGGTAATATCTTCTCCCGTTTCCTGCGCCCTCCTGAGTCCGCTTTGTAATTAATGGTGTAAGCAAAGTCATAGCCAATTCAAAGTACCTATCAAAGCCTGTTCTTCCAGCTGGAAGTGGCCATGGCAGGTGTGGGTTCCGCTAAAAGCAACCTAGCAAAATTTCCTGGTGACTGGGTTCCCTCCAACTGGGATTCTTTGTTTACTGCTCAGTCTATTCCTCTCCATTTTGAATTTGTCTCACAAAGTTTCTATTGGGACTGTCTCTCTCTCTCTGGGACATGCCCCTCGGCTTTCTTCTGAATTACTAATCTGTTTAGTTTGGTTGAGCCTAAACTCTTAGATTTGGTCTCACTCTGAGGTGATCTGCCTGGTGGGTGACTGAGTGAAGTTTGATTCCTACTCTCAATCTAGGTATAAGAGAAATTCTTTTTCGAAGAATTAGCCTCAGGCTGTTTTTCTTGCTCTATACTCTTAATTGCCCTTTGAGGCCCTTTTAAAAGATCCTGGGTGGGGGGCATTGACCTTGATTTAGATCATCAAAAATACATTTCTAATGCAGTTCAAACTTTCTGTATACTGTCTATCGTACCCCTAGACAATTTGGCAGAGAGACAGCCTTTATATAATTTTCTTCCTCGTCTCTCCCAAGTAGGTAAATCCGGTAAATCTTGTTCACAAAACCATGGGCAAAGCTCGCTAACCGTTTTTAAGAACTGTGCCAGCTGGCTCTTTTTCACTTGCTTTCCTTTCCGGTTAATTATAGTTTCTAAAATGGTTAAATGTCTTTATCTGTTGATAAGATAAATCATTATAAATCTCTAATGTCCTAGGCTTTAAAACTGTCTGCTTCCTCTGTGACCCTTCAAAAAAATTTCACGGTCCAATAAATTTTTATAGCGGGCTTCTCAATTCTACCTGGTATTTCCCCTAGAGCAGCTCTACATTTATGGGAGCCACTTGCCGCAGCCTACCACCTGCATTGACAGCTAAACCAGAGGTCCCTTGAGTGAACTCCTTAAGGCATCAAATAAAACACAGACACACAATTTACTTTTAAATCAAGCCCTAGGACAGCTCCACCCTCAAGCTCCCCAAATGGGAAAGTGAGGAATCTCAGAGAGCGAACACATTTCAGAGTGGACTTTTTATTGGGGGATTCTAGATTCTATAGAAATTTCCATCCTATGAAGGTCAAGGGTGGGCAGGGTTACAAGGACAAGTGAGACTAGGAAGGCACGCCCATTCCCGAAGACACATTTGCTTTTTTTTTCTACCCTCAAGATCGGGGCTACCATCTTTGGCTACTTAAAAGCAGCCAGATCATGGGGTGACTGACAGTGCCTCAGCCAACCAGGAGGGGAAGCAAACGCTGGTCACATGCTATGATGGCTTCCCACACATTTATTCACCTACTGAGGATATCTTGGTTACTTCCAAGTTTAGGCAGTTATGGGTAAAGTTGCTGTAAATATCCATGTGCAGGTTCTGTGTGTTTATAAGTTTTTAACTCCTTGGGATTGATATGAAGGAGTGCAATTGGTAGATCAAATGGTAAGATGAATATGTTTAGTTTTGTAAGACACTACCAAGCTGCCTTGCAGAATGGCTCCCCAGAAAGGAATGGGAATTCCTATTGCTCCATGTCCTCCACAGCATTTGGTATTGTTGTTGTTTGGAATTTTGGCCATTCTAATAGATGTATAGTGTGTCTTGTTTTAATTTTCATTTCCCTTGATATATGATGTAGAATATCTTTTTGTATGCTGATTTGATATCTGTAAATTTTCTTGGTAAGGTGTCTGTTAGGGTTGTTGGTGCATTTTTTTTTTTTTTTATGGTGCTGGGAATTGAACCCAGAGCCTTGTGCATGCGAGGCAAGCACTCTACCACCAATGTTAATAGTGTCAGTTCCCCAACTTTGTTTTTCTCTTTTATTTTTTAAAAATTTGTTCTAATTAGTTATACATGACAGTAGAACGCATTTTGACACACTATGCACAACTGAGCTATATCCCCAGCCCTTTGGCACATTTTAATTGGACATTTGTTTTCTTAATATTGGATATTAAGCATTCTTTGTATATTTTGGACACCAGTCCTATATAAGATATATTTTTGCAAATTTTTGCTTTACATGTTTGTCCTTTATCAGATATGTTTTTTTTGCTGCGTGAGTTGCTGGCATCATAGGCTTGTGCCACTGTGTCTGGCTCAGAAATGTCTGTTGCAAATATTTTCTCCCTGCACGTTGTTTGTCTTTTCATTCTCTTACAAGGCCTTTCACAAAGCAGAAAGTTGAATTTTAAAGAAGTCTACTTTATCAGTTCTTCCTTTCATGGATTTAATTGTGTCTAAAAAGTCATCATCTAGATTTTCTCCTGTTATCTTCTAGGAGTTTTATAGTTTTGCATTTTACATTTTGGTGTGTTCTGAGTAGTTTTTGTGAAGGGTATAAAGTCTGTGTCTTCATTCAGCTTCTTTGCCTGTTGATGTTCAATTGTTCCCTTACCATTTGTTAAAAAGATTCCTTTCTCTGTTGTATTGCCTTTGCTCCTTTGTCGAAGACCAGTTGGCTATGTTTATTGCAGTCTATTTCTGGGCTTTCTGTTTTGTTCTATTGATCTATTTTTCTATTTTTTTGGCCCATAACATACTGTATTAATTACTGTAACTTTATGGTAAGTGTTGAAGCCATTAAGTGTCAGTTCCCCAACTTTGTTTTTCTCTTTTATTTTTTAAAAATTTATTCTAATTAGTTATACATGACAGTAGAACGCATTTTGACACACTGTGCACAAATGGAGCACAACTTCTCATTCCTCTGGCTGTACATGGTGTTTTCTCTTTTAATAATGTGTTGACTATTCTAATTCTTTGCCCCTCCATATACATTCTACAGTCACTTTGTCCATGTCCACAAAATAACTTGTTGAGGTTTTGATTTGGA